CAGAGAGAGAGGAAGCACAGAATCTGAAGCAGATCCTAGGCTCTGAGCTGTCAGCACAGAGCCCAACGTGGGGCTCAAACTCAGGACTGCAAGAGCATGACCTGAGTTGAAGTCAGACACTTAACTAACTGAGCCACTCAGGCACCCCTTCTCAGCCCATTTTTAAATCAGATTGTTATTTTGCTGTTAAATTGTATGAGTTCTTTAAATATTGAGTATATGATTTCTAAATATTTTCTCCTATCCCATAGATTGCCTATACTTTTTTTGATGGATTTCTATGCAGAAGCTTTTTATTTTGATATAGTCCCACTTATTTATTGCTTTTGTTGCCTTTGCTTCTAGCAAAGGCAAAATCTTGTCAAGACTGTTTTAAGGAACTTATTCCTTATGTTTTCTTTTAAGATTTATAGTTTCAAGCTTTATGTTCAAGTCTTTATTTTGAGTTGATTTTTGTGTGTGATGTGAGATAATGATACAGTTTCATTCTTTCACATGTGACTGTCCAGTTTTCCCATCATCATTTATTAAACAGACTATCATCTCCCGTGTGTATTCTTGGCTGTTTTGTCATAAATTAATTTACTGCATGTGTGGGTTTATTTCTGGGTTCTCTGTTCTGTTGATCTGTGTGTCTGTTTTTATGCCAATGCCATACTCTTTTGATTACTATAGCTTTGTAATATAATTTGAAATCAGGAAGTGTGATACCTCCAACTTTGTTTTTCTTTTCCAAGATTGCTTTGGCTTTGGAGTCTTCTGTGGTTCCATACAAAGTTTAGGATTGTTTTTTTTCTATTTCTGTGAAAAATGCCAGTGGAATTTTGATAGAGGGTCACTTTGAATCTTTATTTATTTATTTATTTATTTATTTATTTATTTATTTAATATAATTTATTGTTAGCTAACGTACAGTGTATACAGTGTGCTCTTGGCTTCAGGAGTAGATTCCCGTGATTCATCACTTACATACAGCACCTAGTGCTCATCCCAATTTATGGACATTTTAACAGTATTATTTCTGCCAATCTATGAGATATGATAATCTATGAGAAGAGATAAAATATCTTCCCATTTATTTTGTGTCTTTTTCAGTTTCTTTCATCAGTATCTTGTAGTTTTTAGTGTACAGGTACATCTTTCATCTCCTTGGATAAATTTATTCCTAGGTATTGTGTTCTTTTTGAAACAACTGTAAATGGAATTAAAAAAAATTCTTTTCTGATACTTTGTTGTTACTGTGTAGAAATGGAACTGATTTCTTATATTGATTTGCATCATGCAGTTTTACTGAACTCGCTTTTTTTATGTTTGTTTATTTTTGAGAGAGAGACAGAGAGAGCATGAGCAGGGGAGGGGCAGAGAGAGAGGGAGACACAGGATCCAAAGCAGTCTTCAGGCTCTGAGCTGTCAGCACAGAGCCCAACATGGGGCTTGAACTCAGGAACTGTGAGATCATGACCTGAACCGAAGTTGGATGCTTAATCTCAGTCTGAGCCACCCATGTGCCCCCAAATTCACTTATTCTAACAGTTTTTTGGTGGATTCTTTCAGTTTTTTATCTATATAATATCATCATCTGGAAGTAGAGATAGTTTTACTTCTCTTCCAATTTAGATGCCTTTTATTTCTTTTCTTTCTCTGGCTGGGATTTCCAAAACTATATTAAATAAAAGTGGTAAGAGTCAGATCCATGTCTTGTTCCTTATCTTAGAGAAGAAGCTTTCGGCTTTTCATTATTGAATATACTGTTAGCTGTGGGTTTGTCATATATGGCCTTTATTGGGTTGGCTAATGTTCTTTCTGTACTCAGTTTCTTGAGAGTTTTTGTCATGAATGGATGTTGAATTTTGTCAAATGCTTTTTTTACATCTACTGAGATGATCCTATGATTTTTATCCTTTGTTTTGTTAATGTGTTGTATTACATTGATTTGCAGATATTGAACCACCCTTAAATCCCTGGAGTAGATCCCAATCTATCATGCTGTATGATGCTTTTAATGTATTGTTAAATTTGGCTTGCTGATACTTTGTTGAGAATTTTTGCACCTGTGTTTATTAGAGATCTTGACCTGTAATTTTCTTGTGGTGTCTTTGTCTGGCTTTAGTATCAAGGTAATGCTGGCCTGGTAAAATGAGTTTGGAAGTGTTCCCTCCTCTTCTATTTTTTTGTAACATTTTGAGAAGAGTTAGTATTAATTTTTCTTTAAGTTTTGGTGACTTCACCGGTGAAGCCATCTGGTCCTGATCTTTTGTTTTTTGGGAGATTTCTTTGTTGTTGTCATTGTTTTGCTTTGTTTTGTTTTATTAGAGACAGAAAGACTGGGGAAAGGACAGAGGGAGAGAGAATCTTAATTAGGCTCATGCCCACTGGGACCCAGTCTCACGACCATGAGATCATGACCTGAGCTGAAATCAAGAGTCAGATGCTTAACTGACTGAGCCACCCAGGCACCCCGGGAGGTTTTTGATTACTGACTGGTTATTTGTCTGTTCAGATTTTCTATTCATGATTCAGTCCTGGTAGCTAGTATGTTTCTAGGACTTTGTCTGTGTCTTCTAGGTTGTCCCATTTGTTAGCACATAATTGTTCCTGTTAATCTTATATGATCCTTTGTATCTGTTATATCTGTTGTAATGTCTCCTTTTTCATATCTAATTTTATTTATTTGAGTCCTTTCTCTTTTTTCTGGGTGGGTGGCACCTATTCTCTTCCACGTAGGTATGGACATTGAAGCTGACTCCATCTCCACCTTCACTCTGATGGCTTCTGATTAATCTGAGTGAATTATGGCAATCCCATTCCCCTGAGATGGGTTCAGGACTAGATATGTATCTAGTTCTGTCAGTGCTATCCTTGGGACTATGTGCTGAGCAATTTGAGGTCTGAGATCTGAGAAAGATCACCTCTCTTCTAAAAAACATATATATATAGGTAAAGATAAAGGAAAAGATGGTATTCTGACTCCTGAAACCACGACACTGGGAAATTTTTAATTGATTTTATGTTACAGTAAATACTAGATATTACCATTTAATTTATAATGCAGTGACTGATTAAATATACATCTTTTTTTTTTAATTTTTTTTTCAACATTTATTTATTTTTGGGACAGAGAGAGACAGAGCATGAACGGGGGAGAGGCAGAGAGAGAGGGAGACACAGAATCGGAAACAGGCTCCAGGCTCTGAGCCATCAGCCCAGAGCCTGACGCGGGGCTCGAACTCACGGACCGCGAGATCGTGACCTGGCTGAAGTCGGACGCTCAACCGACTGCGCCACCCAGGCGCCCCTAAATATACATCTTTAATGAGGGGAGGACATTGGTTAAATAATTAAAAAACTGTCAGTAGAGAATATATTTGGAAACCACAGGATATCCAACTATCAATGTCTTGCTGTTGTACTTTTTAACCTAGCAGATTTGTTTCAGGCTTCAGGAAGTTTGGACATAGCTACTTAGTGATGTTTCAGTTACCCTGATATGTTCTATTTGTCTGCTTCTCCATCCTTAGCTTTCATTGTCACGCTTGTTGCTTCATGGTTACAAAATGGCTGCAGCGCATCCAAGGAGGAGGAAGGAGAAAGGCCAGTGGACAAAAAGGGCATGCCAGTTGAGTGGGCCTACTTTTATCAGGAAAACCAAAGGTTTCCTGGAAACCCCTCTCTGAAACCTGGGGTGTTGTGTTTTATTTGCTGCTAAGTGCAGTGTATCAACTTTATCTTCCCTTCTCAAATTTAGTTTCAAATATGTTAGTTCAGTAACTTGTTTATTTTTTGCTTATGCTTTATCAACTAAATGTTAGACTCACTAGGTAAGACATTTAGTTTTCTTTTTCTAAAATTTGGGCTTCTGAGCTATAAATATGTAAATTTGTGCTAAGTTCATGCAAATTTTAATTTGAACCAGGCATTGTGGAAATTTTTAAATGAGTTTTGTTTTTCTTATGTAAAGTTTTTCTGCTTAGGAAGAACAGAAAACCTATTGAACATTTGAACTGAACTCCATTATAAGAATTACAATACAAAATACCTCCTCTCAGGGTCCCTTTTGATAACAGAGACTCACAGTCCATTAAAAGAAAAAATGAGCAGTGTTTAAATTTAATATCTGATATTGCATTCAGGATTTAGCTGAGACTTAGCTGTTCTTAAATTATGTACTCAACTATTTTTTTTTTACATCATCCACCTCCCCCCACCTGTATCCTGTTCAGAGACGTATTTATTCTGGGTTACTGAGATAGATCATTGAGGTAAAAATTAAAAGGATAATTTAAGGCTGAAAGAAAATATGGTTCGAAATGAATTGCTGCAGGTCGCAATGCGCGCTATAGACAAGGTAGAGCTGAACTTTAGAAGGAGTTAGGGACACATGGTGCAGTGGGGCAGTGAGTGGCCGCTGGGTAGTTGAGACAGGGTGAAATGCAGTTTTAAGTCTCTGTTCAGTGTTAGGGATTAGGCCTAGATTCACGGTGCACCTCAATTTAGGATTCTGGATCTAGGGTGGATGTGGAAGAATAGTTCTGAGCTAAATGCTAGTGTAAGTTCATCTCAGTCATTGGAGAAACTAAATGATGTCTTATATTTGTTGTACCCACCATATTCTCACCTGTTGTGACTAGAGGAGCCACTCGTCATAGGGGAGTAGGTAAAATGTGTATGCTTCCACACTGGAAAGAAAGAACTAAGTAAATAAGCTATTGCACTAATATTTTTCACTCTCCCATTTTTATGGTACATGACAGCATCTCTCCGAGAATGTGACTTTTATCTTTCCTAATCTTATTATGCAGGAGGAGAGGAGTGGAAAACCAGGCTATTTTATTTCTGTGTCTCTCAATTAGGGAAGGAGGAAACTCATGAGTGAATCTAACAGTTATGTTGCCACAGATTTTTTAATCCAGTTTTTTTTTTAAGTTATTTACAGTTATTGTGGACGGTACTGCATGTTGAGGCTAATTGGAAACAGTGACCAGATTCTTAATCATTGTCAGGAAACTGCATTCAGAGAATGAGAAGAACACCCCCACTGGATGAATTGCAGCCACCACCATATCAGGATGACAGTGGTTCTCCCCATCTCTCATGTACGCCCTCAGAAATTGGGGACAGTAAATGTGAATTTTCCCACTGCAGCAACAGTCCACGATGCTCATATAACAAGTGCCCAAGTGAAGGAAGCACAGGTCACGAAATAGAAAGTTTTCATAATAAAGGATATGAAGAAGACGTTCCAAGTGACAGCACTGCAGTCCTGAGCCCAGAAGTAAGTAAAAAAGCACATAGAGTTTTTTAAATGGACGTTATTGGAGGATAATAATCCTGTGCTTCTCCTCTTGGTAAGACGGTTTCATCACTATCCTTGTCCTTTGTGGCTTAAGGTACCCGTGTTCTCCTTGATCTAATCTTGATCCAGCAGACATGTCAGGACTGTCTCGACCATCCTTCACCCACCCCACCCCCTTTTCCCCAAAAGGAGGATGCGTAGCTAAAAATGAGAGCAATGCACAAGATACTGAAAAAATGTCTTCCCCAGGTTTCCACCTCAAGATAGGTCTTTTTTATTTTAACATTGTATACCAAACATTCTGGAATTACCTGTTTCTTCCACTTGAGGCTCCTATTATGTGCTTTTTATTTTTAAACTTCTTTTAGTTTGGATATTTTTTACTTCTGGGAGGTTGCTCACTGATGTTTTATAGGTTTTTCAAAAATGATGTTTTTGCGTTTTTATGTGATGGAATATGGAAGGGAAGAGTGATGCTCAGCTTTATTAACATTTGGATTCATGGCATCACTCAGAGTTGTTGGTTGTGGTTTAAGTTATTTCCTATTTTGAAGCAAAAAAGTGAAAATGACAACAAAAATACACGTGTTGAACTTTTGAAGTCTTTCCATGTTCTTAAAAGGATTTGTTTTAATCTTTCAACGATGATGAACACTGTAATAGTAATTTGAGCTTTTCATTAGGTACTATGTACTTTTAGGACTTACTTTCTTTTAGACTGCAGCTTTTTACAACTTTTGTCCCAAACAGCATTTCATAGTAGTACTCTAGTTATGTCAGTGTTCTCACTAGGTGAAATCCATATACGGCCAAAATTAAATAATGGAAGTAGAGCCATGAACAGAATTCCCACAATTTTAAGTTTTTCTTACATAATTTCTAAAAACACGTGTTGTCTGTCACTATGTTTCTACTCTTTCTAGTATTCTAATATAGTATCTAATTTAGAAGAAAATTCCACATTGGAATTTTAAGTTTAACACGTCCGTATTTCACGGTTTTCCACAAAGACTATTTCTTTGTGCTCTGTGCATGAACGAATTTGAGACCACTGTTTTGTAGGTTTACACACTGGAGAGATAGCCAACAAGTTAATGGAGGAGCCTGGATTGTGGAGTTAACAATAACAATAGCAGTCAACAGTTGTGCCAGAAATTTTGCTATAAGCTTTATAGTCAGCTCAGTTAATTTTAGCAACCTCATCTTCAGGAAGTTATTTCCATTTTACAAATGAAAATATTAAGACTCAGAGAGTTAAGCAGTTTGCCCACATACAAGCACCTATTAGATGGTAGAACTGTAATGCAAACGCAGGTCTGTCCGACTGCAAAAGCAGTGCTCTTAACAGCTATATTCTGTTGCCCTTCTTGACCTAAATCGTTGTGTGGGAAATTACTTTGATCATTGGCATGGTACCCTCCCTTGCCCGGTACCCTACCAGGCAAGCTGTTTCAGAGAACTCATGGACCAAATTCGGATGCTCAGATCACGTGTGTGTGTGTGTGTGTGTGTGTGTGTGTGTGTGTGTGTGCGCGCGCGCGCGCGCATGCACATGTGTTTTAACCTATTTCTTTTTTTTCTTTTTTTTTTTAATTTTGAAATTTATTGTCAAATTGGTTTCCATACAACACCCAGTGCTCATCCCAACAGGTGCCCTCCTCAATACCCATCACCCACCGTCCCCTCCCTCCCACCCCCCCCAACCCTCGGTTTATTCTCAGTTTTTAGGAGTCTTAACCTATTTCAAATATAATGCCAGAAGAGGAGCAAGGTGAGGTAGGTTAACACACTTAGAATAGGATGCCAGTAGGTACAGGTGGTGGGAATACACTGTGTAAGCCTTGGTTCAAGTAATGCCAAGTGTCCTATGTCACTCTTCCTGCCCCATCAGTGTTCCCTATATACGGTTGTAGTAACAGGGACAAGAGTTGAGTTTTTTTTGTTTTTGGTTTTTTTTTTTTTAAAGTAATCTGTACACCCCGCGTGGAGCTTGTACTCACAACCGCCAGATCAGGACTTGTATACTCCACCAGCTGAGCCAGCCAGGCACCCCAAGAGTTGAGATGCAGACAACGGTGCCAGGGGCCAAAAACATACACTTGTTTTCTGGGAGAGATGCAGGGACAATTACTCCTGTCATCAGTAAAACTTGCCAATTAGCCCACTAAATCAACCTAGGTTCTATTTCCATTAAGGAACACATGGGTGACAGAGCTTTAGCTCAGAGGTGACATGATCATGGCTTGGGCCTTACATTCCTTCCTTTAGGCAGTACTCATTTGTTCTAATTATATTTTTGATTCATTATGTCTGTCTTTGGCATATCTTCCAAGTTATTAATTTAGTTACTATCTGTATTTACTGTATCTTCTGAATTTTGCCTCTCAGATTACTTCCTTATTCATTATTTATAGTTAACACAGGCGTTGAGTTTTGCCCATATTTCAGAAGCTGCCAGCTTGCTGTCTGTTGACACTTAGTCTCTTCTATCCTGCTTGTTTTTGTGTCTCTGTAGCAGAATTGAATATATTCAGACTCTACAGCAAGTGCATGTTGTATCAATATCTAGATGCTTTTATAGCCTCTATTAGTATAAAGTCCACTCTTGTGTTTTTTCAAATTTATTTTGCTTTCTACTCTTCCTTTAACAGATACTATTTATCAAATAGAAAAGTCTTACTTTCCTCTTCATTTAATTCAGGGCATAGCTATGTTAGTGCCCATCTACACACACAACTGAACTGGGATAGGAGTGAGGGTTCCAGTGAGGGTTCCCTGGCAAGAAGGTCAAAAACTCTACTGATGACCTTTTACTAGCTGACAGTCATTCAAATGTAGACACTTTGAAAGGAGGGATTATTTTCTAGTAGCCTGTTTAGAGAACACAAATAGTAATTTTTGTCTATAAAGGTCCACCCTTTTAACCCTCTCTGGGACGTTATGAAATTTTTTACTGCCTTGTACATCTTAGCTATTATGATACTATTTTAGAAAGTATTTCATTGAAAAATCAAAGCCATGTAATTAATCATCTTTGATTGCCAATTATGAAGTGGCATACGTTAAAACATTTTGCTCTAGATTGTCAATTTTTTTGACAGAATAAGAATATGTTTATCCTGATTTCATCATATTCCATTTAAAAAAAAAAAAAAGCCGAATCCTTCTCTAAGAGTCTGTTCCCTCTCCCTAAGTGTTGTTCTTCATTTCTTCTTTTTTTTTCATACATGGTACCAAGCAGGGTCACTCATAGGTAGACATGTAAGATTTATATGTAAAAGACCTGAGTATTTTTGGTTCTCTGCTGAGTCTTCCCCAACTAAAATACAGCCTGGCACATGGTTAGTACAACAGTTAGAGTTTGTGTTCAGCTGCTTTAACAAGAGACCAATATGATGGCTAAAAACCACAGAAGATTGTCTTTCATTTAACGACAGTCTAGGGGAGTAGGTGGCTTCGCTCTACATCATTCAGGGGCTTGGGGGGGTGGGCAGGGCGGGAGTTTGGTTTTTTTGTCACTCTGCCATCCCCTGGAGTATTTGTCTTAGTCCACATGGTCCAAGCAGAGCCACCCATCCTACCTGCGTATCTGCTGGTGGGAAGCCTGAGAAAAAAAGAGAGTGAAGGTCAAGTAATTTCCTCTATAAACCTAATCTGGATGTTTCAGACATAACTCTGCTTGCCTCCCACTGACCAAAGCCAAGTCTCATGAGCATAGGTGCCACAAGGAAAGTTTTGAAGGGCAGTCTCTTGCGGGACAGTGTGTTTCTGCCTCAACTCTGGTAGCCCTTCTCAGAAATGCAAAAAGGGAAGAATGGGACTAGTAGGAGTGGCTGCTACCATAGGCACCAAGGACACGTTCAGAAGCAGAAAATTATAAAATTGGTCCACATTTTAAAATGTCCATCATTTTAAGATGTTTAAGACTTGTTAAAATGCTTGAAGGGACAAAGTGGTGTTGTTGAAAGGTCACAGACCTGGGTTTGGCACAGTCGGTAAGTAGCCAACCCTCTTGTTACATTCCAGGGACTTAGGCTGGCAGGAATTTGAGACAATTCTGGGTAAAACAGGTACAGCTTCTTCCAGCCTCATCATTAAAATGTACAGTTTTGGTCTTTCTGGAAGTTTTGAAATGTGTAGTCATCGATTTTCAACAGTAAGTAACCTCAGAAAATAATACGTAGTTTTAAATTGAGGTTAAAAATTAAAGTGTAAATAATGTATGTGTTATGGAAAATAAGTATTTGGCCACAAGTATTTTTGAGGCCTCTGTATTTATACTTTCATATTTCCCATTTCCCTTGATTTCCAAGCCTCAAGGTGCTTACACTCTGTTACAGATGGGGTGTTTTAGAACAAAATTTCCAAAGGGGACCAAATTTTTCAATGGCATTATGCTTGTATTCATTATCTTTCTATCCAGCCTAATATTGAGCTGTCAGTTGCATTGTTTATAATGTTGAAAGTGCAATTTGGTAGTTTCCTACGAAAGGAAGAGAGATACATCTTGAAGCATGTATTTTTAATTATAAAAACATATCCAACTTTCTCAGAATTGTGATGGGGAATACTAAATTCTTTGTCTGTATTATGATAAGCTTTTGAGTTTAACCTACCACGTTTACTCCTCTGACCTTGTGGAGTAGCTTTTGATCATAGTTGACTGTTACTTATTATTACCTTCTTTGTGACAGTTTTCACATCCTCCTCCTAAAGCAGTATCAGATGTTTATTTACATGCTCGATTAAATACTAGAGTTAAAAACTGAAAACATTTGAATTTGCTTTTCTTAGGATATGTCAGCTCAAGGATCATCTTCACAGCTTCCCAAACCTTTTGATCCTGAGCCAGAAGCTAAATATGGCACACTGGATGTGACTTTTGACTATGACTCACAAGAACAGAAGCTTCTGGTAACAGTGACAGCTGTCACCGATATCCCAACATATAACAGGACAGGTGGCAACTCATGGCAAGTACACCTTGTTCTTCTACCTATAAAGAAGCAGAGAGCAAAAACCAGCATCCAGAGAGGACCATGCCCTGTCTTCACAGAGACATTCAAATTCAATCATGTTGAATCCGAGATGATTGGAAATTACGCAGTTCGGTTTAGACTGTATGGTGTGCACCGTATGAAAAAGGAAAAGATTGTGGGGGAAAAGATTTTTTATTTGACGAAATTGAATCTTCAAGGGAAAATGTCACTACCTGTGATATTGGAACCTTCTTACAATCATTCTGTGAGTATCTGATCAAATAGCCTGACTATGCTTTATGTCGTGATATATAACGTAGAGAGTTTTTAAAATCCATTATCAGTCCAGCCACTTTCTCAGTCTTTTCTAAATGCAATAATCATGCCTTTACAAAATTTCTAAGCCCTGGATAGGTCTAATTTTTTCTCATTCTAGAAAAGTTGCCCTTGAAGATTATATGTGACTTATGTATTTTATTTAGTCCTTCACAGAGTCCAGTCCAATGTCTTACACATTTGTTCCTGTGTTAAATATTTATTAGATGATTGATTATGACATCAAACGAACTCCATGCAGATTTTATTGTTTCCTTTCCAGGTTAAAACTAAGTGGTACAGTAAGATCTAGCCCCGTATCTTGTTTAATATGCCACAGAAATCATTTGCTTTTATAGAATATGTACTGCTGCCCAGGTCATGGCTAATTATCTTTCCAGAACTGCTATGAAATTATTTTTAAAGGTTCAAAAGAAAATCTGGCCTTGTTATACTCTGTACCCTTTCTAAACAAAGGTTTTGCAGTAGTTTGGGGAAAATACTTCAGTTTCGTCTATGAGCTATTATCCCTTTTCCCTTTTTTGCTCCAGGTTCTGATCACATATAAGTCTCTCTCCCTCTCTCCCTCCATATTTTTAACTAAATTCCCGCAAGACATTGCAAATCACAGGAGAGTTGACCTGCTTCTTTAAACCGGAGATACATTATGTCACATAGTTATTTAGATTATGAGAAAATCTGTGATATGCTGTAAGTGTAAATTACAAATTGTATTTATTCCTCTCTACTATATTGAATTAAAAGCATTTTTATAATATAAATACAGAGATTTTAGAATGGATGTTTATTTTTAAATAAAGGTATAATATTTGAGGGTTGTTTTTAAGCTTTTAAAGGGTGTAAGCATAAGTTCAAGATCAGAGAATTTATACCAGGAAGCATTGGATCTTATAGGACCCTCATTCACATTAGATTTTTTTTTTCACCATACCATTTCAGCTGGATGATTTCAACATTTTTAAAACCAAAGGCCATAGTAAGTATAGTGTATCCCTGCGGGTTTGTAGGATACTGTTTAGCCTTTATTGATAACTTGTTACAATTTTAAATTGCAGAATTACCACTGTGGGGAAATGTCCCTTTTAAAAATATAATATCAGCAGTTTATCGGAGGAGAGAGAAAAGAAGTCCAGGCAGTATTTCAGAGTTGGAAAAAGCAGTTTTTTATAAAATTGAATATTTGGCAGTTCTTAATAGGATTGTAAACTTTTTCATGATTTGGTCTGAGTGATGACTAGTTAATCTGTGAAAACACATTCTTATAGAGAAATATACCTGATTTAAATTGGAAGAGAATGACCGTATCATCATGAGGTATGTATTTTGTATTTATTTACTTCAAATGATCCATTTCCAACTCTGTGTTAATTATATTCATTTCACAAACAAAATGAAGCAACAGAAAATAATATGGTTTCATCTCTGGTCCAACTAAATTATTTCTGTATATACCTACATTACATGTATTGGCTCATAGTCCTTGATTCTATATTTCTGACAACCAGTACAGTAAATTTCTGAAGCATGTTCCCAGAAAGAAAAAAGTGCTAGACAAATAGCTTCTAAGAATCTGACTAGAACTGTCCACTGCTCTGGGAGAATTTTTTCTTTACACTGCCACCCTTTTCAGATTTACTGCCTGTGTTTAATTGTTCCTCTCTCTTTCCATCTTTCCCGTTCCACCTTCTCCAAATCCAAAATATTTTGGCTTCTGTGCCAAAAACAATTTAGCACACCACAATTTTGAGGTCAAGACTCATAATTCTATCAGTTGTCTTGTCATAACAATAAAATACTCCTAGAATGTTTGTGTTCTGTATGTGCTACAGTGTTTATGTTCTCTTTGCTTAAGTTTTGATACTAACCGTATAGAAAAATCATGTGATTATAGATTACGTGGGTGATTTTAGCTTTAATTTTATAAGATGTACTAATAAATGAGTGAGAAGTTCTCATAATTAAACAATTTATTCTTGTAGCTTTTGAATAATTACTTGATGTCGTTGCAAGAATATTAATTAGCCTTTAGGTAAAGGACAGTTTTAAGATATTCAAAAATTGATATACTGTGATTAAACATATTTGCAGTTTAATAACAGTTTACTTTTATGGGTAATAATAGAAAAACAGAATTCTACAATGGAAAATTTAACTTTATATTCAGGAACTGATCAAATCAGTACATTGAGAGAAAAAATGATCACTGTCACCGGATGACTGAGAACTAAACCCTGAGTTTCCCTGAGGGGAGAATTTAAGTTGAACTTTAAGATAAAGATTCGGTTTGATCACTGAATGATAGAAAACATACAGAGTTGAAAAGCATGAGTCCTTTGTACTAACTAGCTGTGGCTGTAACTTTGGATAAATTATCTAATCACTTTGGGCATCAGGTTTCTTAATAGTGAAATGAGGGAATTAACTAAATGTCCCATCTATCTCTGATATTATGATTCTACTAATATATTTTGGGAAAGGCATTAGGTAAGAACAGAAATGGGTGGAATTTAGATGCATTTGGTGTGCTAAATATATGACATTTTGTTTGGATATTTATTATGGTTTCTCACTCCTCCATATATTTTCAACTGTCTTCTAATGTCTGAGAAAGTCCCAACTAATAGTCCCACCTCCCTGAGGGCAAGTTCACTTTCCCAGCCTGACTGGTAGCTCGGGCAGAGCCACGCTCACGAGGCGCTCCAGTCCTATTCGTGCCCAGGAAACCTCAGTACAGACTGAACAGAGAAGCAGGGGCTGCACTCACATCATGTTTGCATGGGCTGATGGTGGAGGAATCTGATACTCAGAGTCCGTAGTAATTCTGAATTAGCTTTGCTGGTGCAGAAATAGTATGTGTGCTAGACAGTGACTGTTGCAGGAGAGAAGAGACCTTGGCACATGAGTGTCCATGGGGAGCAGTGGCACAATTTCCTCACCGGGCCAGTTCTGCAGCGTAGTTTTAGTTTTTGTTCTTGAGAAGCGTACCCATAAGCCTATTCTCTAGTCATCCTGATTCCCTTAATAAATTACTCTTCCGTTTAATGTTAGCTTCCAGTGTTTTCAGATAAGAACCCTGACTGACAAATGTTGAAATAGCCATATGGTTGATTATTTAGTTGTTTTAGTCATCTCTGAAGCCAGACTCAACAGCTAGGATGTTATCAGTTACCCTTCCTGCCCCGGTGTACCCCTCTTACTGGAACTTTTCTCATGTACTCATCTTTGTTCGAATGGCACTCTTTCCTGGTCTATAACCCCAGCTACTTTCTTCACCTGCATCTTTAACGCCATATTACTCTGTATAACAGTTGCCTGGAATGGCATCTCCCCCCCGCCCAACTTTTTTTAAATTTTTTTTTTATTTTTGAGAGAGAGAGAGCACGAACAGGGAAGGGGCAGAGAGAGAGGGAGACACAGAATCCAAAGCAAGCTCCAGGCTCTGAGCTGTCAGCAAAGAGCCCAATGCGGGGCTCGAATTCACAGACAGTGAAATTATGACCTGAGCCAAAGTCAGGCACACAACCGACTGAGCCACCCAGGCACCCCACCTCTCCCCCTTTCTTAATTCCAGTTGTATTTCTCATTCAGCTACTAGATTTCTTAATAATATTAGATTTTTTATTATGGTTTATTAATAATGAGACTTTGTTCTTTCTCTCACAACCCTTCCCGTACAGACACTATTTAACTAGCATAATGTATGCAGTGTGACCAGCTAGGAAATGGGGACTTCAGTCCTGTAGCTGCAAAGCACTGAATTCAGCTACCACCTTGAATGAGCTTAGAAGTAGATTCTTGGCCAGAGCCTCCAGATAATAGCCCAGCCCAGCTGAAACTTTGATTTCAGTCTCGTGAGACCCTAAGTAGAGAATCCAGCTGAGCTCATTTGGACTTCCTACCGCAGAAAGTGTGTTGAAACTTAAGCTTTAGCAATAGAGGGCGCTTAACATGTGCCTTGACATCTGTGTTCCATTCAGTCTGGCTCCATGTCATATTTCTGTGTGAATGCATAGCATCTATAGTAAGTAGACGTGGGACTGGGTGGGCTTGTCTCCGAGGGAAGGAGATCCTCAGGAACTCCTAGACTTAAAGACTGGAGAAAGGAGGGGTAAGGTAGGAAGAAAGAAATACTAAAATATCCCAAGAGCCAAGAATCAGTTATGAAGGAAGGAATAATTAACTTTGTCAAATGCTACTAATGGAACCAATAATCTAAGTATTGAAAACTGCTCATTGAGGGGCTCTTGGGTGGCTCATTTGGTTGAGCACCTGACTTCAACTCAGGTCATGATCTCACAGTTCATGAGTTCAAGCTCTGTGTCCAGCTTTGTGCTGACAGCGCGGAACTTGGAGCCCACTTTGTGGGTTTGTGTCTCCCTCTCTCTCTGCCTCTCCCCTGCCCATGCTCTGTTTCTCTGTCTCTGTCTCTCTCAAAAACAAATTAACATTAAAAAGAAAAAGAAAAAGAAAACTAACTGCTCGTTGAATTCAGGATATTCAGGTAATGGGTAGCCTTAGCGGGACCAATTTGGATGGGGTAGAGGGTAGGCAGAATCCAAGCTAGAGTGGTAATCATGGGGACAACTTTTAAGCCAAATTTGGCTATGAAAGTAGGAAGGAAGAGGACTTTAGGAAAGATGTTTTTGAGGTTAGGAGAAACATGGGCACACTTAAATACTAATGCCAATGGGGTGCCTGGGTGGCTCATCCAATTAAGTGTCTAACTCTGTGCTGACAGCTCAGAGCCTGGAGCCTGCTTCTGATTCTGTGCCTCCCTCTCTCTCTGCCCCTCCCCTGCTCACACTTTGTCTCTCTCTCCCCCTCTCAAAAATAAATAAAACATTAAAAAAAAATTTTTTTTGAATACTGATGCCAACGATGTAATCAGTGATGATGTACATTATCAGGGAACAAATTGAAAATGGGGGT